TATAGGGCTGCAGAACATTATGACTGTGATAATCTTCTGGCTGATCAGTGTATATTCACTGGTATCATACGTATCATTATTATAGTAATAACTTAAAGTAAACAAAAAAAACAGACATGTAGAGGATGATAGTGCTGTTTATTTCATCCTCTTTTTAACTTCTCAAATTATGCCCATGCCCCTTTTTCTAATCTTTATCTTACTTCTTTTTATGTAACATGATCAAATATGGGTATGTGATGGGTTTGGCCATCGTCTCTCTGTCTTCTATAAAAAAAAAGTCACTTCCCTGTGACTGTGTTCGCTGCAGCAGAACCTTCCTCAAGACAACAGGACGTCTTCAGAGCAGACATACTCCATCAAAGTAGGTACGTACAATAAAAGGTGCACATTTTTCACTCCTTTGAACCTTTATGGACTGATTATTTCTTATTTTTTTATTAATAGTTTGGTAAAAATACCAATCACTTCACATCACATCATTTCCTAAAAACCAAGGTTAATCTTCAGATGATTTTCTAGCCGACTAACAATCTAGAATTTAAAGAAAATTTATGAAAATGAGAAGCAGAAACATCAAATGTTTGGCATTTCTGTACAACTTTAACGTTAATTGGTTGTCAAAACCATTGCTGAATTAGTTTTTAGCCACAAAATGGACGTAAGTTCATGTGATTATGTTTTTTCTAATTGCTGCGGCGATGTCCTGTCATTTATTAGGATTTTACCTGTTAATCACATTTCTAGAAATTTAAATATTAATTCTAAATCTTAAAGTCTATTTGTGTCATTTCTGCAGGGTGTTACAGCTGTAGCAGATCCTGCTGGCAACAGAGGTAAAGGTGAGTTAGTTAATTAAAAAAATATTTATCCAACATTGTGTTGAGATAAGATAATTAATATGATGTTTCTTTATTGATCCCCTGTAGGGGAAATTCAATTCGGTAACACAGTAAAGGGGAATGTAGAGCAAAGAGTAAAGAAAGAGAATAAAATATAATAAAATAAGCTTGTGTCTATGTGTGTATGTACAAAAACACTGTACTCAGTGTAGTTGTTATTATTGTTAAAGATTATTATTGATTAAAACTGATCTGTGTGCAGATGGCTGGCCTGTGCTGGATGGCGCTGGTCCTCGCCTTCTTCCTGTCTGCTGGAAACAGTTCGGCTGCTGTGGACCAGAACTGGCTCGCGAGTATTATAGAAGGCATCAAGAATCAGTGAGTCCTCTAAGACTGTTTGTCTGACTGTTTATCTATAAATTAACTATAAATAAACCAATTTACCTCTCAGAATTGCTCCATCATGCTCGTTCCACTGATTGGCTCTTTACTTCATGTGCACCTGACTCCTGGCACCTTATTAAAATCAATACAAATTTATCTTTTGGACATTTTAGAAACGTAATTTTAAACCTCCCAACCTCTACTTGTAATTGTTACATTTTTTTTTTTTTTTAGTTTTAATTCATCTATAAAATTATATATTAATCTCTCTTTTACACTTAACTTACTTAATTTATCAAATATAATCAGAAAATGTTCAAGGCTGCATATGATTAATATATCAATATTGTAATTCAGCTGCTAGAATATTGTATTACAATATCTTTATTATTATAACCTCTCCTCCTCCTCTAACCTCTCCTCCTCTTCTTCTTCTAAGCTCTCCTCCTCTTCCTCCTCCTCTTCCTCCTCCTCCTCTTCTAACCTCTCATTCCTCCTACTATTATAACATTTTTCTTCCTCCTTCTCCTCTTCTAACCTTTCCTCTTCTTCTTCTAACCTCTCCTCCTTCTACTGCTACCTTGCAGGTTTGTGCATGCACATTGGTTATTATTATTATTATGGCATAATATTCATAGATATGTTTTCATTAGTGTGTAATGAAAATAAGAATTGTTATGTTTTCGTTAGAATGAGCAGTTTGTTATCTACAGACACCGTGAGTCGCCTTCCATGGAGTCTTGAGCCGCCATGTTTCTACCGTAACAAACCAAACACTGGCTGTAGATATGACCGTTGTAGTTTGTCCCACACGCTTGGAAGGGGAGGGTGAAGCGAGTGAGACTACACTACTAGATGCCACTAAATCCTACGCAGTGTACTTAATAAATTAGTGCTATATTGTATCTCTTTAGGGTTGGTGCTTGGCTGAAATAATGTTTCAAATGGGGTACCTGAACGAGAACCACTGCATTATATAACAATACACTCACTGAAAATGTTTTCCTTTGGCAGGTACGCACTCGGTGACACCTTCAGTCTGGCTGTGAATGTCCCACAGAACCAAGACCCAAGTAATCTTCAGGAAGTCTTCAAGGACGATCCAGCAGACCAAGTGAAGCAAACTGTTTCTGGGGGTCAGGTGTACCAGGGCGCCCGGGTGGTGGCAGCAGCGCAATCAGGGGCGTTGTCACATGTTCTAGAAAAGATACAGCCCTTCATTAAAAGCAGTGAGGGTAATGTCCTCGTCATCTACTCCGAGGAGTCCCCGTGCGGTCCAACGTGCACGAATCAGGACGGTATTGCTGGCAAGATTAACGATGTCACTCAGAACTGGAGTGGTTTTGCGTTTGCGTTCTCTAAAGTAGCCGATGTTTCTGACGCGTCTCAGCAGGCCGAATCCTTTAAACAACTTGAGATTTCCAAACTCGGCCTTGACAACATATTCCGTTGTTATAAACCCGGAGATTCTTTTCAGTGCACCAGCTGCTCCTCGGGCGGAGACGTTGCGCCCTCGTGTGTTGCAAACAATGAAGAACAGGGCGCTAGCGAAGGAACGGGTGGAAACGTAGGCGAGGAAACAGGTGCAAGCGTAGGCGAGGAAACGGGTGCAAGCGTAGGTGAAGAAATACCTGCAGGCATAGGTGGAGGAGCACAAGGTCGTGAAGGAGGACTGAGCAAGTGCAGAGGACGTGATAAAAGAGGCTGCAAGCGTAGAGGAAGAAAAGGTGGCAAGGTTAGGAGGCAGTGCAAGCGTAGAGGAGGCTGCAAGGGCAAAAGAAACGGCAAGCGTGGAAAAGGTAGTAAGGTTAGAAAAGGGCGGAAGCCAAGAAGAGGGCGCAAGGGTGGAAAACGGGGTAAACGTCGAGGAGGGCGCAAGGGTGGAAAACGAGGTAAGCGTCGGGGAGGGCGCAAGGGTAGTAAAAAGGGTAAACGTCGAGGGCGCAAAGGCAAAAGATGGGGCAAAAGTGGAAAACGTAGAGGCGGGCGTAGAAGGGGACTGCAGGTAGAATAACTCCTGAGCTGAAGTCCAGTGAAGCTTTACTGAGACAAAATGATGTCTTAGGCGTAATAGAAATGCCCTTGTTTCTTTTCTCTTCCCTTGAAACTCTCTTAATTTGAGATCTTTGAAGGCCAACATCTATACAACTCTGAGTTCTGGTGCTGATACTGATAAGACCAAAACCAACAGGCGTAAGAGCTCCACTGGGGTCCAAAAACTATTAAACCTGCAGTGCTGCACTGGGTTACATGTTCCTGCATTACCTTTAACACTCACACTGTAGTTTATTTCCACTCAGTCCCACATTCACTGTCAGGACACCAGGGTTGGTACCACAGTTAGTGTAGGAAAGTTTTTTCGTGGGATTCGTTAACAATAACAAAAATATAGAACAAAACCAAACTTTGAATAACTTTTTTGGAAAATTTAACACAAAATACAAAACATAATAACAAAAAATTAAAATAAATGATCTGTTTTGGTGTATTTGGAAAAATAAATCAATTTATTGACTTGTAATGGCACTTTTAGATATTTTCGCTTCACTAATGTGCCATAATGATGTTTTTTTGTTCAAATTTCTTCACTTGGGGGATTTTTTTCAAGCAAATATTGATATATGTGATTGTTTAATCAGGATATATTTCTGCCACCCTGTCAGTTACAGCCTCTTCAGCTGACCAACCACAGAGAGCGTGACCTCAGTGTCTGTAGTAATTGTTCTTCAATACTTCTGTAAATCATCTGATGTTTTGTTCTTTCTGATTAAAGCTTGGCTCAGCATCCATTCTGGTCTGTCTGTGTTTCTCTCTCTACTGTTAATGCAGAAATATTCAAACAAATAACACATTTATTCCACATGCAAAAAACTGCATAAAATTAGCTCAAAATGTCTTCAAATACAGATTATTTTCATTCAGATATCTTGAGTTCAGAGGTATACATTATTATTATATTATACATTCATCAATACTTCTGATTGATATTTAATTTCTCTTGTTTTTATTTGCATGTTTGATGTTGAGGTAATCCAAAAGTAACGGAAACTAATTACTAGTTACTTTAATATTGTGATACTTGGATTAGGTTACCTCCCAACCCCGTGTTATATGGACATTATATAAAATACTTTTTATGTGTATTCTCTTATCTGCTCTGTTGTATTGTATATTATACCATTATACTGAGAAACTCTGTCAATATTTAAAATTCAGCACCTAATAACGAAACCATTGGTGAATGATTTTGACTTAGTATCAGGAAAAATCATATATGTTAGATACTAACTGAGACATTTTTTCATTATAAAGACAAACAGAATTACTACCGAACCAACAACTCACATTTGGTTAAAAAATAACCGACCTGACGTTTCTAGCACGCTTTCAACTACAACTCCCAGAATGCCCCGCGCTGGACAATTCACGTGACACGCTGCCTGTCAGGTGACCGCACTGACTGGAGGAGAAACATGGCGGAGGTGGAAGCGAAGTCTCTGAGCGGCCTGTTGAACGGGATCGCTCAGAGAGTTTACTACGGCAACCCGGAGGTCACCGAGCAGCTGCTGAGGGAGCAGCTCTTCCCGGACCTGAACCAGGACCAGTTCACGGCCCTGCACGACCGGATGAAGGCGCTGCTGAAGGTAGGGAGACATCCTGGGAGGGGGAGACACCTCCTGCTCTGAGTCTGCTGGGATAAAAGGACAATATATATTATTATTTATTATTAAATGTGTGTAATGTACAGTAATGCATCCACACGTTTTCAGGAGAATATCAGTTAATAACTAATCAATAACTAATAATCATGCAGTGCTGAGGAGCAGTGAGTAAACTGTACTGCCCCACAGAGGCTAACTGCAGGAACTTTATCTTTTAAATGTTTGTGCATAAATTCAGTGAAAGATATAAGTTGTTTCAATGCACACTGCGAAGATAAGTCTTAATTTATGTTTATTTAACTCTAGACAGAAAACAACCCTTTTAACATTTAATAACTGAGATTTATTCATTTAAAGGACAAAAATCTAATTCTAAAAACACTTTTTTTTTTACAAATATGTCTATTTTAACTTTTCACACACGCAAACAAAAAGAAATACAGATTTAATGTAATAAGTAATCTGGTTATGGTAACACACAGGGCTATATCTGCATGTTTTGGGAGGTCAGAGGTCAAAAAATTGGCCATGAAAATGACTTAAAGAATAAATATTTAAGAATATAATTTCTGTTCTACCTGTAACACATTTACCTGGACAGGTTATTGTGATTTTTGATCACATTTTGATCATTTGTGCAGCTTTAATTTAGTTTTGATCCTCATCTTTTGTTTAGTTGACGAGTTTATTTTGCTTCTCTGAGCTGTACTGTCAGCTCACCACCATCAAAACACCAAATGGGGGAATGTCTTTAGGAAGAATGTCGTCTGCAGCTTCCCAACAGGAACCTCAATGTTCCCATTCCTCCGTCTGTTCCTGTGTGTCTCACCTGTCGTCAGCAGGTGGCAGCACTAACATTACTGTTACTGTGTGTAACCTGCAGCAATGTCACATTCAACAACATTCACTTCTCTCTTTTTCCTTCATTTTAACCAAATAAAAGTGTCAGTTTGAGGAGAGGCAAAAGAAAGAAACATTGTTGTGAATAAAAAGAGCATACAGTGAATACTGTGCAGTTATAATGTGCAGCAGCTGGTTAATGTATCTTTGCTTGGTAATAATAATAATAATAAT